CTGGGGACTTGAACTATGCACAAATCAAGTGGGTCAATCTAACATCAGACCAGGATGCAGACACTGAATTTCCTGATGTTATAAAAGACTGCTTCCTGGAGCAGTTAGTCCTGCAACTTACAAGGATTTGGTGCCAAGGGGAAGTGTTACTGAGCCACTGGGCAATAGTGACTGCAATGCAATTGGGTTTGACCCCGATGTAGGAGGGGAGACAAAAAAATCTACAACAATAGCCTTTAACTTTAAAAAAGAAGACCACCAAAATGAGGAAGTAGTTAGACAGAGGTTAAAAGGAGCCTCTAAAAAGGTGAGGAACTTGCAGGCAGCATGAGAACTGCTTAAGAACATCACGTTGGAGGCACAAAGCAAAGGCATACCGCAAATCAAGAAAACAGAAAGAAACCAAAAGAAGGCTAATGTGGCTTAAATGGCAGAGTTGAAGAGGCAATTTGCAGAAAAAAAAAGCTTTTTTCAAAAAGTGGAAGTCAAATCCTAATGGAGAAAACAAAAAAGAACATACACACTGGCAAATCAAATGTAAAACTGTAATAAGACAAGCAAAGAGAGAATTTGAGGAGAAACTTGGTAGGGACACAAAACTAACAGTAAAGATTTCTTTAAGTACATTAAAAGCCGAAGAACTGCCAGGGAGTCAGCTGTGCCCTTTGGGTGATCAGAGTATAAAAAGGATGCTAAAGGATAACAGAGCCATTGCCAAGAAACTAAATGCATTCTGTCTTCACTGTGGAAGATTTTAGAGAAATTCCGTCACCAGATCCACTCCTCTCTAGGGACAACTCAGTAGCTGACACAAAATAAAGTTTCAATAGATGAGGTTGTAGAGGAAATTGATAAACTAAACAGTACCAAATCACTGGGACCTGAGGGTGTTTGCCCTAGAGTCCTGAAGGAGCTTAGATTGGAAATTGCTGAACTCCAAATTATAGTATGCAACTTATCACTAAAAACAGCCTTGGTACTAGAAGACTGGAGGGTTGCCAATCTGACTCCATATTTAAAAAAAGGGGACGTTGGGACCTACAGGACAGTGAGCCTAACTTCTGTACCTGGAAAACTGGTAGAAACAATAATAAAAGAACTGCTCAGCACATGGATGAACATGACTTGCTGGGGAACTAATCAAAATGGCTTGTCAGAAGGAAATTGTGTTTTATCAACCTAACTAGAGTTCTTTAAGGGTGTCAATATGCAGGTGGATCAGATGAACCAGCTGACATAGTATATTTGGACTTCAAAAAACCTTTGACAAGGTTCCCTATCAGAAGCTCTAAACTAAATTAAATAGGCACAGCATTATAGGGAACATCCACTTATGGATTAGAAATTGGCTCAAAGATAAAAAGCAAAGAGTGAATATATATAGCCAGTTTTCAGGATGGAAAGAAGTATACAGTGGGGTTCTGTGTTGGGACCAGTGTTATTCATATCCATAAGTAATCTGGAAAAAGGGGTGAGTAGCAAGGTGGCCAAATTTGATGATGACACAACATTATGCACAGTAGTAAGACTAAGGCAGACTGTGAGGAACTACAGAGGGATCTGGCACGACTGAGCAAAGAGGCAACTAAATGGCAGATGAAAGTCGATATAGATAAGTGCACAGTGATGAAATGGGCAAAAATAACCTCAAGTGTGCCTACACTATGATAGTTTCATAGTAGCTAGTGTCAGGAGGGACCTGAACAGATCATCTAGCCTGACCCCCTGCCACAGGCAGGAATGAATGCTGGGTTCACAAGACCCCAGACAGGTGATCATCCAACCTCCTCTTGAATTTGCCCAAGGTAGGGGTGAGGACCACTTCCCTGTGAAGTTGGTTCCAGATTTTGGCCACCCTAACTGTAAAATATTGCCTTCTGATCTCTAACCTAAACCTATTCTCCATCAGCTTATGACTATTGTTCCTCGTCACCCCAGGTGGTGCTGGGGAGAAAAGAGCTCTGCCTATTTGCTGTTGATCCCCCCCTGATGAGCTTGTAGGCAGCCACCAGGTCCCCCCTCAGCCTCCTCTTGCTGAGGCTGAACAGGTTCAGGTCCCTCAGTCTCTCCTCGTAGGGCTTGTCCTGCTGCCCTCTCACCAAGCGGGTGGCCCTCCTCTGAACCCTCTCCAGGCCGGCCACATCCCTTTTGAAGTGCGGTGCCCAGTACTGGACGCAGTACTCCAACAGCGGCCTGACCAAAGTTGCATAGAGGAGGAGTATCATCTCTCTGGACTGGCCTGAGATGCACCTTTGCATGCATGACAAGGTATGGCTGGCCTTGCTGGCTGCAGTCTGGCATTGGCGGCTCATGTTCATCTTGGAGTCAATAATGACTCC